CGAAAGGAAGGAAGGAAGGAAGGAATGAAGGAAGGGAGAGGAACACAGCTATAAGAAGTTGCGCTTAAAAATAAAAACTCCACTTCCACGGCTTCGATTCGAACCCGGCCCTTTTGAGCGGGAAGCGGGCATTCTACCCCTGCACCACTTTGGCGGAGCCAAGCGCAACTCTATTAAGTGCAGACTACCGACCGCTGCGCCGGAAGCGGATTGATCCTGTTCGGGCTTCACTTTTCGAAGTTCGTGTCGGCAGGATTGATGGGTGGAGACTTCTAGGGCTGGTTTTACTCTGAAATATGATTTTACGGCCAACTTTTCATATTGGTATAGGTATAATAAGCCCTTTACTATTGGTTTTCGCTGAAAACCACAAATTTTCGGGTAACCGTCTTATTATAGCCCTTTTAATATACTGCACTGGAACCCCCCACTGCGCACTTTGGGACTCAATGATAAGTTGGACAAAGGCATTATAGTCATGCTCTCTGTGCTACGTGGTATAGAGATACGTCAGCTCCAGCCTTCCCAATTAAAAGGGTGGTGCCACCAACTTTCGAGGCTATCCCAAGCTTGTTGTGGATTTTCTCTATATACAAGGACTCTTCACACAAAGGGTCGGACCCTACAAACACGTGCTATATATTTTAACACGTACAATATATTTTAATTCACTTCTAAAAGTGTAGCTGAAGGCTCACTCTCGCGATCTAGGGTCATCGCTCGCGCAGAAGCACTGACGTTTCAGAATAGGAGAAGCAACGGCAGTTGTCGTGACGTCACACCAGGTCTGTACTGACGTGAGTGACCTCCCCCATCTACAAAACGAGCGTACCCAACGTACCAGCAATGCATCGGTTGCTGTATTACTCGCAGAGTTTCGATCGCTTCTTGGCTAAGTGCTACGCATCGAAACCTGCGAAGGCGTGTTCTGTTTTGCTGGCGCTTGTGTGGCACATGTGTGTGAGAGCAGACGAAGTTCAGCACGATTCGCGTCACAGCCTTGAGTGATCACGTGGCCAAGCCACCTATGTATCGACGTCACTGCCCAACTCGGCGCCGCGAAACCGAAACCGAAAATGGTCCTCATAAGTAGAGCAATTTTGAAATATTTAGCGGAAATACACGAATCTTGGTGCGTGCATCATGCTTCTTGGAGCTGAAGGAAACGCTTACAGCAAAAAACACGCATGCCACACATTTGGTGGCACCACCCCTTTAAGCGATGAGCCTGTATGCAACCGCGGACATTAATAGCGTAAACGGCGAATAAAATAATTCGCACTTTTTTTAGATCGCCAATTCTGTTCCAATTGGTTGATACGGAGTCTAAAAAGGCGCACGGGTTTTATTAATGTCTATAACCAAATCAAGGGCTTTAAAACATTGATTTGTTCATTTCTCTATCCGCGTTGCACACTGGGTTTTGGAACGTGCCGATGTGGAAGTCTGAACATCTTCTGCTGAAAAGTCATTGCATGCGTATACTTGCTCGAGCATGTTTTTCCAGAATGTGATATTGAGGCAAGAAAAGCGGGATTGGGGAGGGTGCACTCATAGGCATCATCCTCTCGGAATCATACTTACCCAATTTTGTTCTATGATATTTTAGTTCATTGCTACTCTCCTTGCTCTTCCGCTTATTTTTTTCCTCCTTAGTTCATTGTGGTAATTAATGTTCGTTTTCTTATAGGTGGCCTAATGGCGAAACTTGTTATTTGTCGTCGACGAAAAGTGGGAATCAATACATGTTTTTGAAATCTGAAAGGTTTCTGCACTGCCGTGATTCTCTAATGCACTCTCGATCGTATAGCTAATGTTGATTCCGAATTAGCCATGAGACGCCTTTCATTGTTCTAGAAAAAACTGTGAATAGCCTATAAGTCGCATTTTTTAAAGATTACTGCTCTATAGGCCCAAATCACCATCAGCCACTGAAGTGAGGCCACTTTTCGTCTAAAGCAGTCTTCCCTTTTCTGACGTGCTCGGAACTCCCGTTCCGCTTTCGTGGTCCTACCGATCGGTGCGCGGATGATTTCTAGCCTGACTTCGAGGATTCTCGGGTCCAGTCTTCGACACCCTCAATCGCAGAGTTAGCGCTGTACTAACTCCATGTTGCCCATGTTCGTCTCTCATCTAGACGCGTTTTGTAGTTGTCGCAGTAGCAGAAAAATGAAGGAATAAAAAGAATAGGGGACCCTTAAACTTCGCCTTTAACAGTTGAACGCGATAGTGAAATCCGGCCCCTAGTGCGCCCTTCAACTGCTACACGCACGCGCGCGCACGCACGCACGCACGCACGCACGCACGCACACACACACACACACACGCACGCACGCACGCACTCGCACGCACGCACGCACGCACGCACACACGCACACACGCACACACACACACACACACACACACACGCGCGCGCACGCGCGCACACACGCGCGCACACACGCGCGCACACACGCGCGCACGCGCACACTCGCACACGCGCACACGCGCACACTCGCACACTCGCACACTCGCGTGCACGCGCACTCGCACACAAGCGTGCGCACAAGCGCGACGTATCTACAGTAATGCAGTCACTGTGCGGTGCGGCCATTTCCCTCTGCTAGAACGGCGCTCTGCTGTAGTCGAGACGCGTTTTTCACAATGTCTCACAGATGGCACACGCACGCACACACGCGCGCGCGTGAACGGTACGTACAGGTTTTTGATCTAAAACAAAAGTCGCATGGCCTCCAAAATACACGCCGTGCGCTTGCTATCTCGGAGGCCATAGAGTCTCACAATGCCTAACAGATGACGGCACATTATCTAGCGTTTGCTTTTTTGCTTAATCAACGCCTCTGGAGAGGCATGATATGCTTTCCGCTAGATGGACATATATAGTATGTCTATTTTTAGAGCTGTTTGAAAGCTCCTGTGTGCTTTTAGCGGCGATGGCTGCACTATCCCGGCCTTTTTCGACGCAGCTTGATGGCGTCCCAAATTCGCCTACAAATCGCTGAATGGACTCGTTTTCGTCGTGATACCTGTCGAACAAAATGCGTTAAGGAGACTCCTTCCACTACATAGCATGTATGTAGTGTTTTTATTCCCGAAGCAGCTGCAATCACATCGTGGCTTTGTGGCGGGACACTGGCTTGCCACGCGAACGGCCCGGGTTCGATCCTTAATAAAACCAAATGTTTATTCTTTCTTTTATTGCCTTCTTTCTTGATTTTTCGCTCACGTATGATTTTCCGCGACGCGAACTCTCTATAGCGCTATCGCGTTAAAATGCAAGTAGTGTAGCGAAAGTGCGCGCGTTTTGGATGCGAAGCAGCTCTTTGACTAGCCTGTGTAATGCTGTCCCTCCGCACCGGGGCGGTGCCAAGTAGGCCACGCCTTCCCTTGCAGTGCGCGTGCGTGACATCACTCTCTCCCTAGCCTGTCGCCGCTCGCTGCGTGTCATTTCTCTCGATTCACCCTCTTCACCGCTCGCAACGCTCAAGCCCACTCCTCACGTCGGCATCATCTTCTCACCCGCGCCGCCTCTCTTCATCTGTCGGCGAGATGAAGCCGCGGGTAGGCGCGCTCGCGCGCCGTCGTCTAGCCCGGCCGTGATTCCGCGACGCCGGCAATGTGGACAGCACGCCGCTGCTTGCCGCGCGATCACGCCGATGGGTGGGACGCCGCCGGAGCATGCTTCCCGCTAGTACGCGCGTACATTTCCCGGCCGTCACCGACGAGGCGCGAGCCAGGGAAACCGAACGCGAGTGTCGGCTGTGGAAGACCGACACCAACAATGTGCGAATCAAGAACGCCGATCGCGTTCGAGAATAGAGACTGCGCGCGAGTAACACCGACGAGACGCAAGCCAAGGAAGCCAAACGCGTCTTCTACGCGTCCCTCCTCCTGTGTATGTGTCTTTAAAACAAGCGTTTACTCCAGTAAACGATACACAGAGTTTCGCTTCAAACCGTTCCTCCAGCACCCGCGTCGACACCCGTTTCAATCGGGTCGACCCTGTGCGCATCGCTGCTGCTTCGCATCCCATCAGGGTTTTCTGTGATGAGATGGTCCATTTTTATTTTATTTATTTTTATTTATGAATACTGCAATCGCTACTAGGGATTCTCGCAGAGTGGGTTACATGAATTACATGAATGCTCAATATGAAGACGAACAAATTTTCAAAACAGGAAGATAAAAACACACAGAAACAAAAGTATGCACAAAGTAACCCAAATATGCAAAAATTTGAACGTTTATGGGGACAGAGCTTAATTAGCATGCTATATTAAACACTGTTATTGAGGCTAGAAGAAAACAATGTTAAGGATGGCTGTAAAACTTCGGTGTTTATTAGTTTGTTCTAGTCGTTTATAGTTCGTGGAAAGAATGAATATTTAAAGCAGTTGTTATGAGTTGCATAGGGTGTTATTGTGCGCTCATGCCTTTGTCGAGTTGCATATCCGGACGAGAATGAAAGAACTTCAGAAATGTCTATCTTGTAATGTCCCTTTATTAGTTCATATAGAAATTTTGTTCATTGTTATTGTGATATAGAATTTTGTTCATTGTTTTTTGTAACACTTAAAGCACTGTCAATCAAATTGCCATTACTCGTATAAAAACAAGACTCCGTCGAGTTGCACGGATAATTCGGCCTTTTCATAAAGCCAATCGCCTAGTTAGACCTGGAGCACGTAGCTAGTAAAGCTTTTCATTGTGCTGGCTTGTGTGTTAATGGCAAAATGTGTGTTGTAATTAGTGTATTTAGTGTTTCATTGGTTGCCTGATGCTTCACGTTGCCTCTAATTTGGTGGATTGCTTGTCCTTGGTTGTGATGTTTTGACCTTTGATTTTTTGCAATTTTCACTAATTGTTACACGACTCTGTATGGCAGCATTCTTGCTGCATGCTTGTGTGCTATTGTGCTCTCGCTTGAGGGGGTTGTGTCGGGCATTCATGCAGTCATCTGGCTTCCACGTCCCCTCATCTTTTTTTTCTTTTGCTTCCAGTCCGACGACTGCTGATGCTGGGAGTGAGTCCCGACTCGACCAACGAAGATGGGCTCACAGCGTTGCATCAGGTATTGTGCACGAATGCTTACGGCACACCTTGTGATCGGGTCATTTGGATTCTCGATCTTATTATGCGTCGTCTAACTTTACCCACCTCACAATTAACACACTTGCCAGGTTTGCAAAGAACGTTTCGGTTTTTACGTCATGACCTCTCCCCCCCCATACTCTCGCGGTCTTCCACCGTGCTCGCGGTATAACTCTTTATATGGTAAGACTGCGGAACTTGAACAGCCTCACGTTTCCAGTGGGTGCGCTTTTGAAACCAAGCGACGCCTATTATCGATATCTGAATGAGAAGCATGCCTGTGCTAGCTGCAAGGAAGCAGTCGGCGTTTTTTACCCCATGCGTATGAAGTTGCGGAGAATTGTAAACACCTTGCGGAGTCGATGCCATGGGTGGTCACAGTCGCAGTTTTCTCGTTAACAGAGCAATATTTAGTCATGCACATTCCACGTGCATTTGCGAAGTATAAAGATACATTTCGCCCGCACTTGAATCGGAATGCTAGTAACAGCTGCGCCAATTGTGTCAATTTGACCCAATTCCCAATTTTTACGCCGAGCTGTGCCAAAAAATTTGCTGGAATAGCGCCACACTACGTCATGAGGTCTGTCCTGCCTCACAAGTTTCTTAGTTGCGCTAACTTGAGCGAGAAATAGAGACCACCTGCAGTTTACGGTATCAATAAGACCAAGCGCGCAGATGCTAACGCTAAACAACGGTGTAAGATAACTCATTAGGCCAGGGGCCTCACGATACGTGATCGACCTACTAAAGTAACAACGACACGTGCCTGTCAGTCTGCTGACCACAGCGGATACGAATCAGCATAGTCAATAACGCATCGTGAGAAACATGCATTAGCAAACATGGCTATGGCATTTTAGCAAATATTTCTAGCCTCTATACAGGGCGTCCCATAGATTTTCATACAAGAATACCTAGAGGGGAATTTGGCGCTGGTGTCTACGTGGGCACCTTCAGCGGGCTTGTACCCCCATGGGAATTATGGCAAGTACAGGCTTCGGATCCGCTTTGGATGGATGACGTTCTTGAGATTTGCGACGATTCTTTTCCGAGTGTAAAACAAAGTGATATCAGGTTATTCTTAATTGAAACTTGCCTCGTTTATTTGTACGCAAACTTTATCGCAAAAGTTTTCGTGAGGAGGCGTTAAAAGTGAAACCTGGGCAAATTTAACCATCGGGGTATGCATTGCTCTGCCATTGCATTCCAGAACTGGCATCAAGATTTCAATAATTATTTTTTACAACACTTGAAAACAAGCATGCTTGTTTTTCTCTGGGAAGTACGCATTATCTATATAATGGAAATAACAGTACAGTATTAAATGAGAAACACCTATTGTTTCATTTTCTGCGATGCCAGGTTCATCGACTGTCCAAGTGGTCTGCCCCCAACGCACCTCTGGCTTGTTGTGAAGCCGAATAAGGGCAATACTATACTAAAGTAGCCGCTACTGTTTTCTTTCTGTGAACGACTAATAACTAATTATTTTAATTATACCTGTAACTCAAAAAGTACCTGCCTAATTATAAAATTGTGAATGAGGCAGATGTGATTCACATGTTGAAGCAGCATCTGTCTGTGCTACTTCCAAATTGATTGCGTGCTCATGTATCTGTGTAAATCAAGAAAGCCTGCGAAATATGAAAAATAACACTTGACTGCACTTCCACCCGCAAAAAAAAAAAAAAGCAGCGCCCTAAAAAAAAAAGCCTTGCTGGGCGCAATCACTTTGCCTCTTTTCCATTGCCAGAGACAGTGTTTTGCACATTGGCAAGAGTACAGGTTGAGTGCCAACAGCATGTGTCGCATCTTTGCAGGAATTCCTTCCGCTTGATTGCATGTCGCTATCACCATTCATATCTCACGATCAGATGTTCTCATTATAACGGGGCTGGGTCGCTGTTCTGATTAGAGCGATCACAGCCTGACTGTCTTAAGATCAAGACGGCATGTTTGTTCGGACGGAAGTGGCAGATAGCGGGAACCGTATTTTTTTTTTCATTCCACATTTCCATCATTGCTTGATTCTGGCTATCTCAAAGCGAGCTTGTTTGAGGGCACTTCTTTCTGATGCGAGCAGCCGTCTAGTCACATGTTATTTTTGTATTTCGTGGGCTTTCTTTATTAAGAGGAAAAAATGAGTACCTTGTTGAAAGTAGCACAGGCAGATGCCGTTTCAACATGTGCACATCTGCATATTTGACATTTTGGTAATTAAGGCCCAACTGCATGCACACGATTTTGTAGCCGCAGTGACGAGCAACAGGATTTGCTGTCGCGGAGGTTCATTTGTAGCCGTTGCCCGTTACAGGCCACGTGTTTTTGGAAAACTATAAATCTCCTGGAAACCAGAGTGACGATTTCCGGCTACATGGCAGTATACCCCTGGTCCTTCGTTCGGTTGCAGTTTCCTCTCGATGCTACTTATCTGCTCGTGTTTAAAAAAAATGGAAGGTATCGACCACGTTCTTTACATTCGCATCTCACGTGGAGAGAGACAGCGGCCGTATTTTGTAGTAAATCTTATTATCGACGTGTTGTTTTGATGTTTCGGTGGTGTTTTGTGACAATGATGATAGCTTGCTGTAATGTGAAATCGTCATGCGAAAAGCGTCGTAGCCGTCATCGCTTACGCATCTGGGCACCCTGTCGTGGTTACGTCAAAGATTGAGAAAAAAAGATCATGGAATGCTTTTACGGTTTCCTCAGCCACACACGACCGTAATAAATTACAAGTTCTCATCTACCTACTTCAAACTCATTTCCAAATAAGGTTGCACGGTCGGCTTGTTGGTTCAAAGCGAAATTCATTGCCAAGTTTGGGGACGCATGTATAAGCAAGCCATCGGTATAATTATCATTGAAAGAATTGCATTATTTGGATGTCGCATGAGTTGAAGTAGATAAAAATTTCTGGTTCTAGCACGTGGTTGTGACGCGCCATGTTTTGGCATAAGTATTGCTGTTTCTCGGATTGAGCCGCATTGTTGAAAGTTAGCGCCGTGTATGTGTTCTGTGTCTTCTTCTCTGTCCCGTCCTGGATGCGCTATACCTCAAACATCATTTCCGAAATTTATGAACATGCACGCGATAGTTTTCAATATAGCAACGATGACACTTTGTCGCCGACATTTGGTTGCAGCCGTTGCGATGTGACGGCAACGTAACAAGTTTGTCGCTATCATGCGTCGCTAGCGCTCGAAAATTGCATGCAATGCGGTTAGGCTTCTAGGCAAGTACTTTTTTCAGTAATGAATATCATTTTTGTCAATAACTCGTTATTTGTCAATATCGTTATTGACAATTAATTGTCAATAACGAAATAACTAGTAGCATCTAGCAGTACACTGGGAACAATATGTACCAGCTTTGCTTCGCGTAACGCCATTCCTCTTTTTTAAAAAATCTTGCTGCATGATAATTGGGACTCCCTGTATAGGGGGGAACAAAAGCTGGAAGCGTGTGCCACGTTTTCCGCACGCGAGCAAACTCCACATGCTGGGATGTTGCCGGCGACCACATTGGTTTTCATAGAAGCAACACATAAAACATATTTGTCTTGGAACTGCGTCGTCCCCTCGATATAACCGTTGCTGTCGCCGGGCCAACGGACACGTGCTGTTGTTACTTTATCAGGCCGGACGCACCTTGCAAGCGAGCCGAGAACTTGTGCCTTAAACCCAACCCCATCATGACTGAAAAAAAAGGGGGAGGGGGGGAGGGAGGGTCTGAAAATTTTTTGGCCTTGTTTTAAGCTGTACTTTTAGCCGCAATACACCAATGCTCTGCGGAAAAGCATAGTCAGATTTGAAGGGGGCTTTCAGCATTATAGTCACTGGACACAGCACATTTTTTTTTATTACTCATGCGTGTACACGATGCATGATTGTGAGTACTAGTATGATCGCTGACGTATAAAAAAGATTACTGGCTTATTGGCAATAATTTAGAACAGTGTATGACATTTCTGCAGCCCTAAAAAAAAACAGCGACATTTTTTTTTTTCGCCACTCGTACTCCTCAGTTTGACAAACATCCTTAATTTCAGGGTAGCCAGCATGGCAGAACCACATTTGAACTTGCAGAGTCCATCTAAGAATCATTGCTTAAACAGTGGGGTGGTTTAAAACTACTACTTTTATTAAAATAGCAGTGGTCATATTCGCTCTGCACAATTTAGGTCATGTTGAAAGGTTTGTACATATTTCTTCCTAAATGTAGGGCTTTTAATACTGCTCCAAGTTTGATCTTTCATGATGAAAAAAAAATGGATGTTTTTTTTTTTTTTTTTTTTTTGCTGTATCCTGCTCCAAATTTGGATTTTAGTGCTCCAGCAGTAACATTTTACTGCTCCTGAAATTGCTCCAAATTCTATTTTGGCTTGCACCCCTGGAGGCAGTTTAATGCATTCATAGGGAATATTACGGAGTTGTATCAACTACTGTGCATACAGTTTCAGCGCCCACTTGCATGCTGGATTTCGCCCAGAGAAGTATGGTAGATTCTCCGTGACAGCTGACGCGCTCCACTTGCTACATGTCGCCATCCCTGCACGATTTGAGTCCCAGGCCACACGTTAATGTCGAAAGGTTATTTGAAAACCGCGCTAAGCTTCTACAGATTCCCTTATCATAATGCTTGATAACTCTACCTTCGCTGGTGACATGATCCAAAGGGTGTAGGGCCGATTGTCATCTAGAAGGTGCGCCAGTTGTGATGTAGGCTACCTTATTCTCGTTCGCATCACACAAACATAAAATCTGGTTTTACTTAAACATGGTGACTGCAATTACTGGGGTGAAAATGGGAGAGCAAGAGTGGCATGTTCTTTCTTTCACTGACAAGTGTTGCCGGCAGAGACCCCCTTCGAACCATTACCACCCCATCAACGCACACACTTCTGAAGGCGGTCACTGTTGGCAGCTCATTGGCAAGTCCAACACAGAAGTCCAATTGAGGCAAAAATTTCATTCAGCATTGCTTAGCAGTTGCGTGAATACCAAGTATTTATTACATAACCCCTGCTTGTACAGCGAAACTTGACTTTCGTTCCTCTACAACACGTGATGGGTGTGCCTGCACAATGCCTTCCAGCCTGGGATGACAAGCGTTGCTGAAGGGGCTGCCACTTTGCTTATCGCATCACTGCAAGTTTGAGCTTGACCCGCGTTAAGTTTGTATATATGTATATGTGGGTGACGCTACTCAGATATCTGAATGAGTGTATTAGCCACATGTCTATAATTCATTGTAGAGTATCCTTTTCTGAAGCCAGCTTGTTCGTTTGTGTGTGTGTATGTGTGTGTGCCAGCATGCATGTGTGCATGCATGTGCACACACACGCACTTATGAAAGTGGGAATTGTTGGCTGCAAACTTGGGAGCTTTAGAGAGTCCGATGAACGCAAATTTGAAAAAAATGAACAAGAACAAATTTCTTACAAAAAAACTTCCAGTGTACCTGCAGAAATTCTACAGACCATTAGTCACCAGGGATGTGGAAGATATGAAGACAAGTGACAAACTCTTTGTCACCTGCTGTCACCTTCGAGTAGGCAATTGGTACACCCATTTTGCTTTTGCTGCAGCCTTTCTGCAGACTAGGGTGATTGATGGGTGAAGCCCATTTAGTTGCTGTCATAGAAAATTTCATAACCCAGAATGTATAGATATATACGTATATAATATATACATCACACTTGCACTCACAGGGCCCACACTAAAAGAGAAGTCTGCTTGCTGTCTGCTCATTGTCTAAAGAAAATCTGCTCTACAGATTGGTCTGTTTGAGCGTGACTGAAAGGTGAAACCCATTTATACATCTTCATCAAATGTCTTGTGGTCCAAAATATATAGGTATATACATATATGTTGTATACATCCACGCCCACACCCTCTGGATGCACAGTAGCATTAAAGTCTGCTTGCCGTCTGCTCGGCGTCGGCAGAAAATTTCTAGACAAGGTCTACAGAAAGGTCAAGTCTTCAGGAAGGTTACTGGGATGACTGACAGGTGACTCGTGGGTGACAGGAAGGTCAAACCCACATTTTTGTAAGGGATACTTGGATATGCTGCGGCAGTGCAGCTTTCATTGCCATTGAAAAAATAAGAAGTCAATGATTTTATCTGTAATCTTTTTATCCATACAACAGAAACTTTGGAATCAGACTGTCGAAATATTATCCTGATCTTCGCTCTCTACTTAATTCAGTTCATGCATGTATTCTATAATAAATTTCCTATTGTGTTTTTTTTTCTTTTTCTCCTCTTCTTTTTTTATTGATATGTCATTGGGTAACCACTTTTGTGCAGTGCTGCATTGACGACAGTGAGGAAATGATGAAGCTGCTTATCGACTTTGATGCTAATGTGAACGCAAAGGACAGCGAGCAGTGGACGCCCCTACATGCAGCTGCCACCTGTGGTCATATTCATCTCGTGCGCTACCTCATCTCTAGGTAGGCTGCTGTATCTGCTGCCTGTGTGTGGTGATGATTGCCTTGTTTTTTGAACGAATCGCTGTCACATGACTTGTTGTGCTCTGTGGATTCCCATGAAGTACTGCCAAAGAAGGTGACTTGTTGATATAGAACGGATGTTGTTTGTGTATTGAATACAGGCAAACTACATTATTAGCAGCATAAGTGTGCACAGGGTCTTACTTCAGGATGAGGTGAAGGTTCAACGCAGCGCTTGAAAATTCGGACGCTTTCGCAGTACTTTAACAAGCCCAAAAGATATATATAATAAGAATTGAGGACCCTTACACTTTGCTTTTAAGAGTTGAAAGGGATAGCAATGTCTGCTCTCACTCACTCACTCACTCACTCACTCACTCACTCACTCAATCGCTAGCCTTCCTTCTGTTTTGGTGGAGACCTACAGTGTGCCGGAAGGAAAGCCAAAGTACTAACACCCTACAGCTCCAATAGTTTACTGCATCTACCTCGAATTTTCGCTTATGGTGAAACGTGCTATTTAACACTATCGCACTAAAATTGGGGCAACACCGTTCTATATTAGCCCGAAGACCCAGGTATCAGCGAAGCTAGCTTGTACTAGTGGTGCAAGGCAGGGAGAAAGCAACAGATGAGCGAGTGTCCTGAGAAAGAGGCGGTCCTCCCAGCCTTGTGTCACTTCCTTGCTAAAACGACGTGCGTGTTTGGGGGGGGGGGGGGGGGTACATGTCACTTGCTTAGTGTAATGTAATTTTCGCTGAAACATGCCGATTGACTATTGTTGCATGATTTTGGTTGGAACATGTCATGTGACTAGTGTTGCATGGTTTTACATGATGTTCCTTTAATATTTTTATTTCTATTTCTCCCTGGCTTTTTCTTTCTATCTCTTTATATTCCCCCTTTTTTGTCTTTATCTGTTTTCTTTCTTTTTATGTCTGACTTTCTCTTTTTTTATATGCTGTATTTACTCGCATAATCCTCGCACTTTTTGTGGCGGAAAACCGTTGCAAAGTTGGGGAGTGCAAGAATTATGTGGCGAAAACTTTCCATGAAAACGTACAGAGCGAAACAGAAACCGAAGTGGCCGCAAATCGGGATTCTCACACCAGCAACAGCAAGCTTTGAGAAGCACTAATTAAAGCTTACCTCAACAATAAAAGCACAGGTTCAACACAAGGCAAGATTTGAGATACAGAAAGTGCAAGCAAATAGTCGAGAATTGGAATACCATATGCTAAGCTTGTGGGCGTTGCGGGCTTAGCGGTAGCGTTCGTCGCTCAACAGGAGCCCTCAAAAGAGGTAAGCGTAGGACATCAGTATTGGGCTGATAGCTATTTGACAGAATTGGCCGCAGTTTCCTTCTGAAGAAATAAAGTTTACTATCAATCCTAGTTTTAGGCACACGACAGGCCCAATGCGTCTCGGTGACTTTCAGCTACCGTCACCAATAGTGAATACATAACTCGTAGACCCCGAAGGGCCTACCGGCGGCCCTGTTGCCATTGTTTAGTGCATCATCTATCACTTTCAATATGAAAGCAGCCGTGTAGCTTCAGTATCGCCCCGTAACGTGACAAGATTACCGACACAACATACAAAACACGCCGCAACGCGCATTTGCCACTTTGGCTTGGCTTAGATTGGATTGAATCTCCATGCAATAATAGTACGCTTGATGCTTAAAAGATGGCACCAGATGGCGCACGCTATCATCATCAGTGGCTGGAATGAGCAGATATTATTATTACGGCAGTTTTCTGGGGTACGATAATTACTCGAGGAAAAAAAAAGAAATTGTATTTTTGGTGGGTGATGTGGGGGCTGCGAGAATCATGCGAGTGGGAGGATTATGCGAGTAAAAACGGCTCTTATTTTCGTATCTCTCTCTTTGTACATGTTCTGTCAGTCAGCAGAGTCATTGCGTCCCATGCATAATAAATAGGTGCAGCGAGAGTGTGTGCCCGGCATAACCACGCGTAACTGCTGTTGCGCGTGGCTTTTTTGACGCGGCGCTGCGCTAGAGTGTAGTTGTGCCCTCCTCCTATAGTTATAGACTATTTCACATGCAGAGTGGTTTCAGTGCCACCAGTTATGCTGTTAACCCTTGTGTTTTGCATTTTTAACAACTGAACAGACACTGTTGTAGCAGACGCATACACATTAAAACAGTTGGGTTGGTACATACGATCTTTCATGACCTTATTATATTGCATCATGCTATACAAAAACACGAAAAATCGACATAATAGCCCAAGATGGTGGCGCCCACATGTCTTAAGTAAAATAGTCTGTAGAGGGTGCACGACTATGGGAAGCTGTAAAGTTACTGTATATGCTACCTTTACATATGCAGTAACTCTACGAAGCTGTGCTCTCTCTCTTTCTCTAAATTAAGGAAAAGACACAGCACTACACCAAAAAGACACGTGCTGATGCGTTGCAACCGGTTCGTGTGGTCCATGTCTTAGGGTAAAATAATCTATAGAGGACGCGTGGCTACGCGAAGCTGCGCTTTTTCTCTCTCTCTCCACATTGGGGAGATGACACGATGCCGTGCCAAAAAGAAACGCGCTCACGCATTTGTTATATATATTACAGATGTCACAGTAATACTCCTAACGTTCACGCAAGCCTCCAGCTTTCTTTCTACCATGCAAGCTGCAGTAGAATGTTGTAGTTTGAGTAAACTTGTGTTATTTTGTTTGAACAATAAAAGTTTGGTGGAAGATAATGCAGAAGTTATTGATTATGTTTCTGTAATTGCTCAGTTACTTTTCTGTGATGGTTATTGAAAAAAAAAGTAAAAAAAAAACTAAGCAATTACATTTGAAAGGAAGTAGTTGTAGTTGTAGTCGCTCATTTTCTATAATGTGTACAAGCCTGGTAGTGAACCAAAAGGTGATCATGCAAGTGAAGCACAATGCGGCATTTTGACACTCGCTGCAGCTTGCTCAGTCATACACTACACTGTTACATCAATCCTGGCTATGAGCAGTGCCTGTCTATAACAAATGAACTTCCCAATAACTAGATGTAATTGTTACTACTTTTTCCTGTAATGTTTTGAAGTAATGCACCTTTATGTGTACAAACACATACTTGCTGTGGTTAAACTCTCAAAAAGCTGATATCAGTGTTAGTAAAGTCATTATGGGTGCTTTTTTACTTTGCAAGATGTTCTGATGTTTGTTGCTGCTGTTCAGTATCGAGAAAAAAAATCGTGGGGCTTGAATTATTTTTTTGCAGGGGTGCTGACCTCTTAGCTGTCAATGCTGACGGCAACATGCCATACGATATATGCGAAGATGAACCAACGCTAGACTACATTGAATCGGAGATGGCAAAAAGGGGTAGGTTTCTCTTGAGTTTTTACACTTTACTATCCCCTGAACAAATTTTGACTATACTTGAGCACAACTTTTTTTCGGAATGAAGGGAAAGTTACGAGGGCGGAGCTACTGCACATGTACTCCTTTGTGATGTAGTCTGGTTCAGCAGGCGTATCGAATGACGGCCGTGTTTGAATAATAACATTGCATACCATTTACTTTGTCTGCTTAAACAGCAATTTGGAAGTGGAATTCATCACTAGCTCATTCGGCGAGTTGTTGGAATAGCTGGATGGTGACTAGCGCTCACCTGAAGACGAAGAAGCCATTTTGACCGTGGGGTGCACATCAAACGTGCGATAATTTCACAGATGCAAAAACGCAAACTGTAAAGTAGAACAAATAGTATGAATATCTCTTTGGTGATGCTGTGTCTCCTTATATCCATAGAAAGTGAAGTAGTGTTGTTTTTATGATTTTAATGGGGAAAACACTGACGCAATTGTAGAACTATATTCTCCAACTCTGTAGCTTTCCCTTCATCGCCAATATAAAGTTGTCCCCAAGTATAGTACTTAATTCACGCAAATCATAGTTTATTTTTTCTTTTTTGATTTATAGAATAGTGTTACATATTTGTGTTTTTGTTTTTTCAAGAAATGTGAGTGGCAATATACAGATTGACATTTGTCAAATCATGGCATCGTTATTGATGTTCTTGTTGGAAGCAGCAATGAAGGAATTGTTAGTTTCGAAATGTTCATGCATTCTATCTATGACTTCACTTTCTAGAAGTGAAAGCACCCCTGGGACAAAATTTTCAAACGCTAGATGTTTTTGCTGTTCAATTCTTCCGCATATCTCCTTCAGGCACTGTGTCCACTTATCTGGATGCCACCTGTTTTTGTGAGTTCTTTATAATAGTGGCCAAGAAAGAGCAAGAACCATTGTGCATTGAATCTTCTGCGTAGACAAGGAATTTTTACTCAAGGTCACTGGGCTGCATATAACTGCAGTTATATTGGTGAAGGCCCTACTATGTTTGACGGCCGTGTTTCAGGACCTACATCAAAATTATTTTTTTGTTTGTTCAAAATGATTACAGCTAGAAATAAATTTTACATACATCTTGAGAGTATGATTTCATTCGTTTCTTATAAAGATGGAACATAACTTGCTGTGGGTGGAATAATTGCATGCTTTATTGCATGCTAATTATATTTAATTACTCACATGAAACAGTGTATTATTGCTGTATTTTGTCCCTTTAAATGCTCCTTTAAATTAGGCTGCGTGAATATGACACATTTGTAGACAATCCAATATAATTAGCCTTCAAAGGTATTATGTGTGTACCTCTGACAAAGTATTAATGAAAAACATCAAAATATTTTTATGTGGTTTTTAAGCGGGTGCCAGGGCTCGCTTCATGTGGCAGCCGCTCATCACATAGAAATAGTACACCGTGTTCAGTGGCTTTCAAGGATATTTGCAACATTTCGCCCTTTCTACCGGTATTATTGATGTCATAGATGTGCAGTTTGTGCAATGCTTGACAGGTATTCTACTATCTTCATTCTGCTGCTGGCTGCTTCTTGAGTGGTTCAGGCTGCTCATGCCATTGACATGTAAAGCGTGTTGCGAGTTGTTTTTTTTTTTCCAGAGAATGTATACTTTTGCATGTATAAGTGGGAAGTGGGGGATGAGTAGTCAGGTCTGTTGTGTGCTGTTTTCTGTTATTTTTGTGTGATAGACTCAAATTTTGGGATATGCATGGGCCTGTTGTACCATTGCCTGGCTGGTGCCATGGCTGTTGCGGCATTAGCATCAGCTGCTGTGTCAGATGCTGCAGCAGCCGTCGTGCAAAAAAATTTGAGCAGCCGTGTTTGATGTGGCGTCTAGTGATGCAGAGATGAATCTGAAAAACAATGTGCATATGACACTCCGGGAGGAGGTTGATAGTGCTTTAGTCCCAACCTCTTGGCGAATATGCTGAGGACATAGGTTGCCGAACTCACTCATGAGTCGACTCGCTTGGACCCACTCAGACTAGGATCGAGCTGTGAGTACGAGTCCGAGTGAGTCTAGGTGAGTAATATTTTGGTGAGTTTGAGTTGGAGTGAGTCTGGTTCAAGAAAATGTTAGTGAGTCTGAGCAAGCTTGGTTCAGGAAAATTTTGCGAGTCTGAGTTCGAGCGAGTCCAAAGCACAAGATATATTTCTTGAGTGAGTCTGAGTGAGTTCCATTTATGTTTGCCGACCCATGGTCCTATCGACTCATCTCCAGCATTACTATGAGCTTTACCTGGATTCATGTTTATACTCACATTTACTCACAAGTACTTCAAAGCAATATTGTTCATACACCATTTCAATATTTATTGATAAGAGGCATGAATTACGTAGGGGGATGCCTTGTACTCTCTCAACCCCCCACCAACTATTTTGGGAAGTGCTTGAAAAATGTATCTTATGTTGTCATCTCTTTCAAGAAAAAATGTCTTTGCTAGTATGCATCCCCCCATAACTCGTATTTGAAAGTACCAATCGAAAGACTCCAAGAAGAGCACCAATTATGAGAGATATAGGTGTTAAAGAGCATTGACAGCATAATAGGAGAAGCTGATTCTAGGCTCACAAGTTGACTCACTCGGACTTAGATCGAGCCATGGGCATGAGTGAGTTCGGGTGAGAAATATTCTGTGAGTCAGGGTGATTAATATATTGGTGAGTTTGAGTCGGAATGAGTGAGGTCGAAGAAAATTTTCGTGAGCGTGAGTCCGAGCGACTCCCGCTGAGGAAAATGTGGGGTGAGGCTGAGTACGAGTGAGTCCCTAAGCTCAAAATATTTTTATAGAGTAAGTTTGGCATGTAAAAACAGTGCAAAAATAGAGACAAGGGCTGCAGAAGAGATTACCTGTTATCTCTTCTTCAGCCCCACCACGGTGGTCTAGTGGCTAAGGTTCTCGGCTGCTAACCCGCAGGTTGCGGGATCGAATCCCTGCTGCGGTGGCTGCATATCAGATGGAAGCGGAAATGTTGTAGGCCCATGTGCTCAGACTTGGGCGCATCTCAAAAAACCCCAGGTGGTCAATATTTCTGGAGCCCTCCTCTACGGCGTCTTTCATAATCATATGGTGGTTTTGGGATGTTAAACCCCATATATCAATCAATCGTCTCTCTTTCAGTCCTTGTCTCTATTCTTGCACTGTTTTTACATGCCAAGCATGAATCGCCAATTAGCCCAACTTTGGCTTTTAGTTCATAAGTAAGTATGAGTGAGCTCCACAATTTTTTCCGGCCTAAGGTCGAGGAGAAAAAGCATCACTTTGAAGGAGCATTTTCTATGGCTACCTTAATTGATTATGCCTTATTTTGCTTAACTTGTAATGCAGACAATTTACTGTAGTTGTCACCTAACTGCTTACATAAATTTCACACTTTTAATAGGGTCATTTAAAAGTGAGAAGGTGTAAACTGAACATGCTCAAGATGTGCCCTCAGACTCTGTTGTAATAATTTCATGGCAAAGATTTGAGCAATTCTTTCTGCTGCATTACAAATTGCACAAGGAATATCACTGCGGAGGTGGAACATTCTCCATAACCTTTTTCATTTTATGTCTGAGCAGCTTATCTGTCAAAGCAAGCTGGCCAACCTAGGGACATTGAACCAGCTGTGATGTGTCTGGATTACATACCTGGCTAATATAATAACTTACAAGACAAGTTGTTTTAGAGGGTCAAGATGACATATTGGCTGTTTTCATCTCACTTATGATGTGTTTCATATTATCATTAAAACAGTTCATGAATATATACCCTGTGGCATGTAGCACAATTTTACTTGTGCCACATTGCTTTCAGAAGTGCAGATTATAATGTTGACAAAAAATAAAAATAAATATTTGATTGAGAAAGTGTGCTAACGCTTCCCTTCCTCCTGGTCTCCAGGCATTACCCAGGAAATGATTGATGAAACCAGGGCAGCCAATGAAGTAATGATGCTCAGTGACTTAAAGGGCCTAAGTGATGCTGGCGGTGATCTGGAATTCAGGGATGAACAAGGTGCCACACCTGTAAGTACACAATGCATTTTTTGAATGGCATTAGTTGGTGCCTTGTATTTTCTGTGGAAATGTGTGCTTCTTGTAGGTGAAGCATTCCCATGCACATGTTTACACATTATTCTCATTTCTGTTTTCAGCTGCACATTGCAGCAGCTAATGGGTACGTGTCTGTGGTAGAGTTTCTTCTGGACCAGCATGTGTCAACCGATGTGTGCGATAATGACCAGTGGCAGCCTATCCATGCAGCTGCTTGCTGGGGTCACGTGAGTGAGGCTTCTTGTTTTCAACTTCTTTTCTTTTTCTACTATTGTAATTGCGTACTAGAATGATTTGAAATAGCCCACTCCAGAATAACTTCAGGCTAAGTTCTCATAATTGTATGACCTTGGATATATAGCTCAGGATAGCAATTGAGATGCACCTGCCTAGTTCAAAAAGTAAATATTGTGCTGATTGTGTGATGCTTCTGTGTTTGATTGTATTGTCTAGTGTTTCAGTGGTGTAAAATTGAAGCTAAATCATAATTGACTTTGCCCAGATATGTTATGCTTAGTACAGACAGACATCTAAGATTCTGTTGGTACCAGGTTACTTTGCTTTTTGCCTTATTTTGAACAACACAAACCAGCCATTGGTGAATCGGCCTCCCCACCCCCCCTTTTTTTTCGTAAAAAAGGTTTTGAATTCACGAATTTATTGCGAATTTGGCATTTGCGACCTCTTTCAACATGTCTATGGAGGTTTTTTTCACAAGGTTTGACTAAACAATGACGCTATAAGCAAGCAAACTTCGACCAAAAAAACGTGCCCCTCCCCCCCCCCCCGGCACGCACGCGCGCAGGGGCGGGAGAGATGACGTGGGGAGGTAACGTCACCTTCAGGGTCGAGCCGCCACCCGGCGGGCAATCATAGAGACTAATATAGAGAGTATGCGTTGGGCTGCCTGCATCGCTCAGGCAGCTCAGCTTGTTTACTTCGCGGTTGTGCCTTGTTTCTGCTGCGATCTGCTGCCTGACGAAGCATCAGTTCTGCCAGTTCATAGGGATTTCTTGCTATTGCACTGTTCTCCTGATTAGAGATTTTCGCCATCAGACACTCGCTAGTTATGTTTCTGCAAGATTGAGGGGACTCGCGATGCCGAGTTACTGCGCGGCATATGGCTGCCGCAGCACTTAGGGTCGCGATGAGGTCGCTTTTCACAAAATTCTTCGGGATCAGAAGGTGGCTGTAAAATGGGCCACTGCAGTTGAAAGAAAATACTTCAAATCTTCGAGATGAAGCGCGCTGTGATGGTCACAAATCTGCCGAATTTCGAGGCTGCAGCAGCACTCCTCCTCTTTCCCCATTTGCATGCAGTGCATGCATGAACACCTATAGTGAAAACACGTGCTCAAAGATATCAGTACGCATATTCAAAACCGGCTATTCTACACGACAGTCGCGTGGTTCTAGCGCAGCTAATACACCGTTTGCATTTTAACGCATCATCAATGTAGTACTGTGCAGAATTTAGAAAAAGCGACGGTATCATAAAAGAAAAAAACAATTGCAATATATGAGCCAAACTATTCTTGTGTAATATTTAGCGCAGTCCAGAGCACATATCACCACTGCGGCAACAGTGGCACTCGTCTGGCTCTTTTTTTTTTCTTGCAGTAGCATACTGACTCATTGCGTGCGCCTCTCCTGCTGCAAAGTACAATACTAAATCCATCAACAATGCTGCACTCTGAGCTGTGAAATCCATGAACAGCTGATGTTTATGTACGCCGACCGCGCTTAACGCGGACCATGCCAGTACGTGGCTAAAAGCGAGTGCCGATGCTGCTGTTTCTTATCGAATTTGATATCCACTGATAAGCGTATTATTTGTAATAGTTTACTACACTGAAATTAAGCACTGGCATACATCTTACATGCGCCAGTCTGTTTCCGACACGAGTGAAGGTGGCTGGCTGGGACTCTTTCCTGTGCCGTTTCAGTTGTCGCCCTTAAAGTGGTGACTGGCTCAAACATGTACGGATGTACAGCCGCGGCCACATCTTTGTAGAGCACGCGACGAGCTGGTTTTTGCTCTGCAGGGCGAAACATCGAGGCAGTTTCGGACTCTGAAGTACTGTACCAGAAGCATGCGCGTACTAGCTGTGAGGCTGACCACATCAGAGCCTGATACGGCCTCTATGTTTCGCCACATAGAGTTCGCCATACTTACAGTAACTGCCCGGTTTCAACAGATAGTGTTGTTTGTGGTTAGAAACGAAAAGGCACCCAATTTGTGCCACCCGGTAGGGAGCATAGCGCAGCACCTCAACAGATAAACGCGGCTTTGCCTGCCGGCGAGCGCAGTCAGCTGCCCTCACCTTCCTGACAGTGATGTCGTGGAGCTTCGACCAGTCGCAGCGATGGCGAAACTCGCGATGGCGGCCGTGGCGCCTGCTGCTTGTTTTCGGCAAAATAAAGTTAATTGATTTAGTTTATGCAAAATTTTGACCTGATTTTCGAGTTCGCCACATAAAATTACATATGACCCCGTAATCTCGTCTTTTTCTAAAAAGTGTTTCAGTGTCCCTTTAAGTTAATGAGGAGAATTTCGCAAAGCAAAATGTGTAGGGAAGATATTTATTTGCCTCTAAATTAGTAAAAACTATGCCAAAGGAGGCAGTGACAGTTGCTTGAACTTGGCAGATTTATTAACGCAGTTGTGAATCAAGTACCGTCGTGTAGAGCTAGGTGCTGATGTACGTGCAGGCACGTGTGTGAGACTGGATCTGTTGTCAAGCTTAAAGGGGCATTGCAACTTTTCTAAAAACTGCACAAAGTTGGCCATTAAAATTAAATAAGCAGATTTGTAAATTTGTCATTTCTATGTTACATTAGCCATAGCAATGTATTTCTACGTCATGTAAAGCTTGTCTGAGATGATTTCAGGTGCCTTACTGTCATCGCTTTTTATAAAATTATGTGTTCCTTCAAAACAAAGAACCCCTGTTTTTTCTTTACCTTGTCAACTTATATTGAGAAAAGTTTACATAATAATCACATAAAATATTCACAGTATGATGCCTTTTCGTTTTGACTGCAGCCGGACGTGTTGGAAATGCTGGTACAGGCTGGCGCTGATCTGAATGCACGCACGAAGAATGGCGAAACACCATATGGTAAAGTTTTGCTATCTCTAATACAGTGTACTTTCAGACTTTTTTTTCCTTAGATTTATGGGACTTCATATGGTGTGCCATGAGATTAAAGGGATACTAAAGATTCTCAGTCAGCTCAGATTAGTTCTTGAAAACTGTATTGTTAACTTTATTCATTAAGGCTGTCACATCACACATTCAATTGCCATATTTACTCACGTAACGAACGCACTTGCATAATAAACTCACCCCCAAGTTCAGTAGTTGAAATATGGATTTTTTTCTCCCGCATAATAAACGTAACCACCTACGTTCATTCACTGCAGTCCCGCAAACTGACACCTGGTGCCTCCATGCCCGTTGGGGCTTTTTCGTTTTTTATTTTGCCGACCTTCCTCAGCTCGCTTCCTCTTCCCTATTGCCCGCTGCCACGCGCAGTTGTTTTTTTTTTATCTGTGCATGGCACATTGTCTGTCTTTTTTAATTAATCGTATGCCACAGCCGGGTTCATGAACAGGGCGAAGGTAAAGACATCATAGCTGACCAGCACACAGCAAGCGAAGGTCACGAAACTGCCCGCGCCAACAAATGGTTGCTTTCTGCAAATATGAAACTTTAAGGTCCAACCACATGCAGGCGACTTTCGAGCGACGACAATGGGATTTGCTGTCGCCATGGTTGTCACCAAGAGCCATTTATCGCCATTGAGTTGCAGGCATGTCGCAGATGTCTGGAAAATCGGAAAAAAATCATTTGTCGCTCAGAAAAGAGCGTGACAATTTCCGCAACATGGTAGCACCCCTGATTTTTGTTTAGGTTGCAATTTACTCTTCATACTTGTTATCCGTACGTACTTAAAAAAACTCAAGATATAGGCGACCTTTTCTACAGTAACTTCTCATGTGGACAGTGTGGTGGCAGCCATATTTTGTCGCTAATCTTGTTATCAACGGTTTGCTTTGATGCTTTGGTGGTAGCTTGCAGCGATTTTGGTTGCTTGCTGCAATGTCGATGTGGTCGTCATAGCGCACGCTTCTGGGCGCCCTCGAGGTCACAGGAGATACCACTGTGGGCAAACAGTTGTTAGAAAATAGAGCTGCAAAACTCTCTTATGGACTGCTTGAGTGGCATGGGGACAGCTTGCAGAAAATAGCATCGTGAACCACCGAAGATGTGAAGCGCACAAGGAAGCCATTTCCTACTATTTACTAGCAGAGTATGCATATGTGAATCACAAAAGATTAAGCTACTTAATTTTTTATTATTTTTTTGCAAACCACATTTCTTGCTCATCCCGAAAAAGTTTTCATAAAATGAACCCCACATAATAAACGCACTCTTAACATTGCTTCGTTTTTTTTTTTTTTTCGGAGAAAAAGGTGTGTTAATTATACGAGTATATACAGTAACTGCAATAGAAAATGATTCGTGCAAATTTTTATAGATGTTCATGAATTTTTTCAGAATATATGATACTGTAGCAAGTATGCAGTGCTCTCGACATAGCAATGGAAAAGCTGGTCTGATGCAAGAATAGAGAGTATGTGGGGCCCTTACTAAATGAATACGAAAGTTATCTTTGCCCATGTAACTTATTGAAGCACCAGTGCTATGTGGAAAGCATAACATCACACTTTTCCCAACACCATTGTGATGTTCTGTGGTAGATGTCAGTTGTTTTCCAAGCTTCTTGTAAAAATGTCTGTATGGATAAAAGCAAGCACAGTGGTTGCTGTAGATCTTTTGATACTTCTGCTGGGTATAAGGCTCAATCAGTGTCTTGCTATTATGTGACTAAAGGAAAATAGGCAGCACATAGACGGTCTGCAAAAACCTCTAGTGCAGTAGCCAACCCTGTATGCGTTTTCTGTGGCCATTTCGATCACCTGGGTAAGTTGGGGCTGGTACCACTCTTTCTCAGGCATGAAAATTATGTAGTTATTCACAGCTTGATCGTACAGCTAGCCCCTTCTATGCCATTGTCATAGCTGCTAAAAAGGGTTGGCTGTGGCACTGCATTTTTTTTTCCCTCCCCTTTTCAGTAGATAGCCACTCAATTACAAAGCATAGCGACCACACTGTGTCGTCCTTCGTCTGCATTACAACTATGCGGTGTGTTGCCTTTGGACTTTACAAAAAAAAAACTTGTTTTCTGGATCAAAACAGAAGCCATATTCCCCACATTTCCTTTGTTCCACGCTTCTTAATGTTGCCAGAGAGCATCCATGCTTACTGCCTACATTATCCTCCTCCTCCTAAGTTTACATATTAGGGTCAGAAATGACAATGAAAACATGAACAGACTTCCTAAATTCATAGCAACATCTGTTAGAGCCTCGTCAGTCTCAAATAACTGAAAAAACTGCATTATTTCAAAGAAAATGGCTGGTTTAATTTGAGACAACGTACAACAATAGTCACATGAATGTACTATGCCAAATACACCGGCATCTGATTACACCTCAGAGCAAACTATGCACTCTATATACACTTTGCAGGGATTGTGTTGTTCTTGCTGAAGCACGAGCCATCCATTTTTTTTTAACGTATAAATTCCAAAGCCTCAAATTAATTTAGAAAAAGGAATACTAAACCACATGCATTTGATGGGCTCTCATTTTCTCGAAGTTTAATGACTAATAGAATAGAAAAAAATAGATCCAAGACAATATGCCAAGTTAGGGTCATATTGCTGCAACCTTTGGCGTCTGAAATTTCATGGAGTGAGGTCGAGTATCTGTTGTGTATTTTATATTCCTGAAAAAAGAAAGTGTACTTTGTAAAGCACACTGGGTTAATGATAATTGGTTCATTATCAAAAGAGAAAAAGAAAGCTGAGGTTACAGTTTCAGAATTTTTATCTGAAACACCAATGCCGGTTAGGTTAGTGCAACGTAGGCAATGTGAACATATTTTCTTTTATGTTTTGACCACATTGGTTCAATAAAACACTCTAAACATGTTGCGTTAAATCTGTGGCTCCAGTAGAACACATTAGCCGCTTCTCTCAATTAGATAGATAAGACTTAACTGATGCGTTCAAGATCTGCAACATTACAGGAATCTAGTGCAGGAACTTCAAGGTGGTTTCGCCAGCTGTCATTTTCTGGCTAGCCCAATATTTTCTCATGCCAAGAGTGGCATTTGTAATATCTTAGAAGGTTAATTTACTTTTACCAGTAAAACCTTTTTTTTAGTGTCTGTTTTATGGGGTATGTATTTGCATAGCCCAAATAATTTTTTGTCACTGTCCCACGTAATGTGATCGTGAGAGTCTGTTTATTCTGTTTATTCTTGAGGTCCTCAAATTAGGTGATTTTGTGTATCTGCAAGGGGAGAGCTAGGGAAGCATCTGCCTCGGTGGAGCAATGGCTAAGTTGCTCGGCTGCTGACCCAAAGGTTGTGGGTTCGATCCCAGCTGTCGTGGTCGCATTTCGATGGAGGTGAAATGGTAGATGCTCGTGTACTGTGCGATGTCAGTGCACGTTAAAGAACACCAGATGGTCAAAACTTCCGGAGCGTTCCACTACGGCATCTCATATTCATAGCTTGCTTTTGAGACCTAAGACCGCAGATATTATTATTATATATACAGGGCCCTTCACCAGGTTTGGGCATTGCAAACAAACAATTGGTATGCACAGATAGGTAGACAGTTTTCAGTTCTGTAAAGTATGATTTTCTTGTTGGGCACTAAGATGGTTGAAATTGAAAGCATAAGGCCACATGCCCTTCTTTTCAGGGGAGATGTGCCTTGATAGAGACAATATGGCTGTGTGAGAGGCATCCTTTAGAACTTCATACTGGTGTCACACGGGCACTTTCATTCGTGATCAGTGTCGATCCGGATTAACCATGATCCAGATTATGTGCTGCTACACGGTCACTTTTAATCATGATCAGGCATGATCGGGATCAAGACTATCGTGATCCGTGCATCGCGATCTGCCTGAAAGATTGCGATTTCGCTGTCGTCTGCACCCCCTGAACGAGCTTGTCGAAAGCACAATAAACGAGAAAACCGATCATAGCTTAATAAAAACACTTATAAACAGCTAGATGTTTATGAAAAAGCAAATTCTTCACTGTTTAACTTGAAAAAATGTTTGAAATATTGCATATGTTAGGATTTGCATCGACCGCATGAATGTTTGAAATATTGCATACGTTAGAATTTGCATCGACCGCGTGTAGTTACGGGAGAATTAGACGACAAGCAGACGACTATTGCCTTCTCTATTTAGTTCAACCCTCGCACCGTCAGAGCTATTGGAGCACCTCGAAGCTAACTGATTATGAGTGTCGCCACCTTTACGATTTCATTGCAACGTACGTGTTCTTTGCGGTTGAATGAAGAGACCTTTGCAATAATTGACCGCTGGCTCGAGTGACTGGAAGACTTGATGAGTCAGAAGTGAAATTCTGGCTTGTACAACGAGATTGAAATTTCACTGTTACTGAACGGCTACGAGCAGAGGCCATTTGGAATACAAGCGAAGGTTAACAATGACACACAGCAATACAAGTAAGTGCAACGAAAACATTATCGAAGGATGGATTTATGAAATAACTTTTGTAGTGGCATGCAATGTTATTGACGATCGAGCGGTTCTTGCACGAAAAACATTGCTGATAAATGCACTATAGAAATATTGTACGCCGAGTTTTGTCAGCGACATGTTTTACGGCACGTAAGCGCCACCTGCTGCATTTTGTCTGATCCAAGGTCGAAATGGATTAGCTTAGGCCGTGTAGCAGCGGTCATAAAGTTGATCGCGATGAATAAAACCGATCCAGATCACCCTGATCGCGATTAAAAGTGCTCGTGTGACACCGGTATCAGTGAACAGTGCTCTTGAATTCAGTTCATTTACTGCACACAGTCTGTAATGTGCATACTGGGAAGGAGGACTGAAAGAGAATGAAAAAAAAAGAGGAGGCAGGGCTTGTCACATGACGATGATGCTTCCAATTGCCTCTGGCAGGTAAAATTATCCTGCTCACACATGTTACTCACGCCAAATGGAGGCTTTGGCAGTAAAGCTCGCCTGCTGAAGGCGCAGTAAATAGACAATTCAATTTTTTTTTTTAACTTGCCCAATGATTAACTACTATGAAATGATATTTTGTTAAAACCTTCCTAGAATGACACTTCACAAGTTCCAATGTGTAATGAAATTTGCCCCGCCGCGGTGGTCTAGTGGCTAAGGTACTCGGCTGCTGACCCGCAGGGCGCGGGTTCGAATCCCGGCTGCGGCGGCTGCATTTCCGATGGAGGCGGAAATGTTGTAGGCCTGTGTGCTCAGATTTGGGTGCACGTTAAAGAACCCCAGGTGGTCTAAATTTCCGGAGCCCTCCACTACGGCGTCTCTCATAATCATATAGTGGTTTTGGGACGTTAAACCCCACATATCAATCAATCAATCAATGTGTAATGAAAATTTGTGAAGGTAGCCAGTGAAGGGCCCTTTGATTGTATTTTCAACAAAAATGACCTTGTCTTGCTTGTTCTTATAGCATGTTTTTGAAGTTGTCAGTTTATAGGGCACCTCTCAATTGTTTCCAAAAAAATGTTTTCATGCTTTTCATATACAAAGCTTTTTTATGTCTTTGTTAAGGCATATGAGTTTTATTGCCATGAATAATACATTCTGAAATGAAGAAGATGCTTTGATTCACTCTGCTTCAAAATTGTCATTTTCATTGTGAAAATTGATGAGATTCTGTTTCTTGAGGAACAAAACACAGTAAATGCAACCTTCAAGGAGTGGTACTGTGCTTACATCTGAATTGTAGAATAAAAAAAAAAAAATTGATGACATCTTTCCAAAGGGAGCCCTGATGGGATGCGAAGCAGCAGCGTTGCGCACGGACGGGATCGGAATTTTTCACTCGTGCCTCGTCGATGTCATTGGTGTACCGCTGTAGATGCTTGCGTTTGGCTTTCTAGGTTCACGCCTCATCGGTGTTGGAGGTGCGGCGTCGCCATCGGCAAATACTATCGGCTTTGCTAACCTTCGACTCACCGGCAACGTCCGGGTTAGGCCAAATTGCTTTGGCGCATGTTTCGGCAGGTGAAGGACCTTCGCTTTCTGGTGTCCTCTCCATTGCAGATAAATGAGCCAAAAGAATGTTCGCTAGGTATGCGCTCGAACTTTGGAAGCGGTGGAGAGGGTGAAGCAAGAAAGAGAGGTGACATGTGGCAAGCGCGCAGCAGGCTAAAGAGAGTTATGTCACCGCGCACTGCAAGAAAAGGTGTGACCTACTTGGCACCACCATAACACCTGCGGCAAGCGAAGTGCGGTGCGGCGTGTTGGCAGGGAGGCATAGACAGACAGCGTTACACAGGCTATTCAAAGAGCTGCTTCGCATCTAAAAATTGTTTTTGCTTCATTCGTCCAGTTTAGTTTTAACATGAGTATATTGACATTCTCAAGCTCAGCCAGTCCAAAGCAATGTCTATCTGTGTCACATTGATGAGTTATGCTTATACAAGTTTTTCTTAATGAACAGTGCTTTGACCTTAGGCTTGAAGAATTCCCTTTTTGAGTCCTCGCTCATATGCTATGAAGAGAAAGCCAGACGTATTCACATAAGTCTTATGAGCACTATGATCAGCTTCTGTGATCTTTACTTAGCAATACGTGCTACTGCTGGTATTAGCTTGAGTTATTAGGCAGAGCGCTTAGCTATAAAATCCAGATACTATGTCATGTTTTGGAGGATCTTGGCCATCTCATGTGAAGTGCTCCTGGTTGTTGCAGACATCTGCGAAGATCCAGACCTGAAGGAACGAATTGTGCAGCTACGTAGCGAAATGGAAACGAAAAGAGCTATGCAGCCGAACAAACTACGGCGTTCACAAAGCCAGAATACTCGCAGGCAAGTGCTCTTTGATGGGAAGCGGGGACTGAATGTTTCATGTTTGTTGTGCTACAGTGTCCTAAAGTATCCTTTTTCAAGCTCCTAAATTCTTCTTAAAAAAGGTTTTGCAGAAGGTCAAATTATGTTATTGCAGTTTTTGAATGAATAAATGTGTGAAGTCAGAAAACAAATTATAAACAAAATTCAGGAACAATATTTTGATGTCATTATCACTCAGGACTGCGTCATGTTCAATGAAGAAAAGACTAAACTTAAGAGCTCATTTTTTTGTTAGACACATTATTGATGAGAATTTACAGACAATTACGCCAAGGAAATTGTAGGGGATGTTATTAGAAGTAAATGTAATGTATTTGATAAGAAGGAAAAGTGGATGAAAAGGTAACTTGCCGTAGGCAGAGACCGAACCTGTGATGTTCAAATAATGCGTTACATGCTCTACCAACTGAGGATCAGTATGTTCAATAGTATTTCAGAACTGAAACCAAGGTCTGCACACAGTGTCTTATCGCAGTCTACACTGATAGTGCATGTATGTTCTCGTCTTGCACTGATGAGTTCTGTGGGCAAACACACATGGCATTTTCTCTGCATGTGGCTGCCTTAGGCAGAGTTAACTCAGTAATTAAGGAGAATGACAATAGTGCCTGTGATAAAGATAACTAAGAGCAGCATGAATGAAGATGGAATCGGCTTCCACCGCACCTGCAAGAAAGTGTCGATAAAGTATGAAGCCAAGTTCTCCACTCCTCTATTGCGATCTGCGGCGAACCTGAAAGTACGAAGGGACGTTGCCCATCAGCATCTCCACCAACCGCGTGATGCGCTGACACTAGAAAGCAGTTCTGTCTATCTCAACATGAAAGTAGTACAATCCTTTCCAATGCGCTTTGCATGTTCTAGGAAGTGGCAACACTTTCCAGTGAGCATGCATCATCATTACGGTACAAAACTTCAAGCAGAGGTTTGAAAACATACCTGTATTACAAAGACTCTGCGGGACAGAAAACCGCCACCGTACATACATGGAAAAAATATCTCAAGGGTTAAAAGGTCATCTATAATAAATAAACACTGTAATTTACTATACTCTGTTAGTTGCAGTGCTAAACAAAAGAGCCTCTGGAATATTAGAAAGGTTTGCATCTGGGATAGTTGGTGATTTTGAATGTTGAATGGCTGCAGCTAAATTTAAACATAGGCCCTAAGGTAAGAAACAGTGTCAGCACTGTCCTCGTGCTTATTTTTTTTATGAGTATGTTTAAATTAAACAGGAACCATTCGACAAGCCCCTGTAATATTTACTGTGTGTTTCTGCTTGACATATTTAAGGAATTTAGGATATTGTGCTGTTCCTATATCTGCATTGCTGTGGTGCCTGTCTGCACTTGAGTTCAGTGACAGCTGTCTGCTGAGATGTTTATCTTGCATGGTTCTCGGTGATACTTTTGCGTTTTCTGAAGGCGTGGCCTGAAGATTTATCTATTATAATGTGTTTATGTTGATAAGGAATGTTCTCTTACTGTGCCTCTCTCTTTGCAAATGACTCAGCCAATCGGTGCGTCGAACAAGCATCCGTGAGAAAGGCATGATATCCCGCCGTGAGGCCAGAGAGGAAGCCCGCATCCGCCAAGAACAGCAGGCACCGTTGGGCAAGGACGAGGTGAGTGCATGGCTCAGGTGGTTAGGCAGTGCAGAGATGCATAGGATAAGTGTGATGTCCAAAGTTCGGAGATGAACGTAGAGTATCAAAACGATTTATTGCTACATATTGTTGCAAGTACGACGGTACAACAGCAAATGAAAAGGGTGAGCCCTGGCTGCAGCCTAGACCTGCAGCTTTATACCAAATCACAGTCGGGTCACATGATTACTGGCAGCTGGGCTGGCCGCTCTATCGACAATACGGGGCGCTATCGCATACATGAGATTTCCTCCCGTTTAAATTGTGGGGAGCTACAGTTACACAAAATTAAGATGGCGTGTAGCGATCTTGCGCTCGTCGACTGCGTACTGGATATCTTCGTACTGGTGGTGCTGCCTCAGAGGCTGCGGGCACTGCCGTAGGTGTCTCCGCAGTGGCATTCGAGAACTCCCCGAAGGTGTCCTTGTTCTCCTCACCATCGGAGACATCAGCTGCACCCAAGAGAAGCTGATCTTGGTGACGATGCCACACGGCCAGGCTCCATGGCGTGTGTACTTTAGTGGCATACGAAACAGATCCTTTCTGCCGCACTACAGTACCCGGAAGCCATCTGAGTGGTCCCCTGTAGTTTCGAACAAGAACACCGTTGCCTACAGCAAATCGTCGGGCTTTGGAGCTGTATAGGCTGGACTGAATAAATTTCTGGTGCCGAACTAATTCTTCCAATTCTGGCTTGAGAGTGTCCAGTTTCGAACGAAGACGGCGACCGAACATAAGGTTAGCTGGCGCTTCTTTCGTCGTAGCGTGGGGTGTATTCCGATAAGCAAGCAAGAAGCTGTCAAGGCTAGCCTGCAGGTTTCCAGCATTTAAATCTTTCTTCACGGCCGTCTTTAGGGACTGAACAAAACGTTCTGCCAAGCCATTCGAACTTGGTTGATAAGGCGCTGTTGTGACGTGGCGCGCCCCTATCTCTCGAACAAACGTCTGGAACTCGGCAGACTTAAATTGTGGGCCGTTGTCCGACACGATCGTTGCCGGATAACCAAAAGGACTAAACATTTCGCGAAGGAGATCGATGGTTGCCGTGCTAGTAGTGTTTTTCATGATGCACACCTCTGGCCATTTAGAATGTGCATCAACCACAACTAGAAACATGTGATGCCACAAAGGCCCAGCAAAATCGATGTGTACTCGCTTCCAAAGGGATGTTGGCCACGACCATGGGTGCAAAGGAGCACTGTTGGGGGCACTACTCTGCTCCTGGCAAGGTTTGCGTTCTTTGACATGAGACTCGAGATCCGCGTCAATTGAAGGCCACCAAACATAGCTGCGGGCCAACTCTTTGGATCGCACAATACTTGGATGACCGTCTTGCAGCACCAGAGACCTCAGCTTTGCAGGCACCACTACACGCATTCCCCACAGGAGGCAGCCTTGGTGTGTGGTCAGCTGTGTCCTCCTGTCAAAGAAAGGCTTGAGCTCGGCATCGTCCGTAAAGTTAGGCCACCCCGTACTTGTCAGCTCGAGTACTCTGCAAAGAAGCTGGTCATGTGAGGTTGCACATGCAATATCTTTGTGCGTCACCGGCATTGATTGCAAGCGTAACGAGTAGAACGTTTCCTCTGCATCATTAGCAGATTCCCGACGAACCGGCAAGCGCAACAAGCAGTCAGCCTCTAGATTATCCTTTGTCGTTTGAAACGTCAAGGTGTACGTGTAGGCTGATAACGTCAATGCACAACGTTGAAGTCTTGCTGCTGCCAAGGTTGGTATGCCAGACTTTGGACCCAAATAGTCTGCAGTGGTTTATGATCCGTTATCAGCGTGAACGAATGGCCGTAAATATAGTAGTGAAACTTCTTAACGCCGAAGATGATTGCTAATGCTTCTTTCTCGATCTGGCTATACTTCTGCTTAGCATCGGACAGAGTCCTTGAAGCGTAAGCAACAGGGCGAACGGTTCCATCAGCAAAAATATGAGAAAGCACTGCACATACCCTGTAATGAGATGCGTCGCAAGCCATTTTGAAGCGGTCTTTGCGGATCATAGTGAGCCAGCATCTCCAGGGATGCAGCCAACGCAGCCTTAATGTCGTCAAAAGCCATTTGACATTCGCTGGTCCATGCCCAAGCTTGGTCGTCACGCAGGAGTTTGTACAGGGGATGGGCTAGCGTAGTCAGTTGAGGTAGAAACTTTCCGTAGTAGTTTACGGCTCCTAGCAAAGAACGAAGCTGCGGCTTGTTCTCCAGTGCTGGCGCGGCTACAATGACATCAGTCTTGTCCGTCGTGGGATGTATGTCATCTGCACTCAACTTGTGCCCCAAGTAGGTTAATTCCTTCTGAAAACAAAAAAAAGCGCATTTCTCAGCTCTTAGTCGAACTCCTCGGCTTTCCAAACGGGTTAGAACTGCTTCCAAGTTCTGTAGGTGTTCGACTCCAGTCCTTCCGGTCACTAGGATGTCGTCCAAATAGCATACAACACCTTTCAGACCCTTAAGCATGGTGTCAATTATTCGCTGAAAAATACCAGGCGCCGAAGACACGCCGAAAGGTAGCCGGTTTACGGCGAACAATCCTTTCTTCGTGTTTATCACCAGAAGACGACGCGCCGGTTCCGCTAGCACTACCTGTTGATAGGCCCTGTTGAAGTCAATTTTTGAAAGTTTTTTTCCTCCACTGAGTGCAGCGAAAACTTCTTCAACACGTAGTAAGGGGTAGCGATCAGTGTCTAGGATAGCATAGGGTTGACAGTAGTCTTGTAGTCGCCACATAGGCGGATGATTCCGTCTTTCTTTACCACAGGCACTACCGGTGTAGCATACTCGCACGTGGCTAATGGTGTGATCACACCCATTGACTGCATTTTGTCAAGCTCTTTTTCCGCTGCTGGAACCAGTGCAAAAGGCACACTGCGCACCTTCAAAAACCTTGGACGAGCGTCCGTTTTGAGAAAAAGTTCTGCCTTCTCCTCTGTGATGCATCCCAATTCTTCCTTGAAAAGGTTACTGTACTTCTGCAAAAGCTTGCTAATCTCTACTTTTGCTTCCTTGTTTGTCGGCTCCCGTGCCGAGCAGAGCTTGTTGCAGGAAATACAGCGTTCCAGTCGAGGCGCACGTGCTGTAACCACTCTCGGCCCAGAAGTGCCGGTCCTCCCTGCTCAGTGACATACAAGAGTAATAGAACACTTTGCCCATCATGTTCAACAACAACTTCAGCCACTCCTGCTGGTTCGACTAATGCACCTGTGTAAGCGCGTAGACGCAATCTTGTCGTGCGCAACTTCAAAGAGGGGAACAACTGTTGCTGTTGCCTGCGAGAAATTACGGATACCGCTGCTCCCGTATCCAACTCCATTTCCAGTGGAATTTTGTTTATCAACCGCCTTACTTTTATGGCATTTTTTGCCGAGCACGTTATGCCATTTAGCATCACTTCTGTGGCCCAGTCAAGAACTTTCAGGCTGCGTACTCGCGCCTGAGATAACTTCGCGTTTTTATCAGACTGACATATACGCTGGATATGCCCTTTCCTGCCACAGCCGAAACACGTCGCCGACGCATGCCTGCAGTTTTTGCTCACGTGCTTAAAAGAACCGCACCGCCGACACGTGGGACGCTTTCTTTTCGCTGGCATCTTTTACTGCGACTGCTTTATGCCCCGGCTTTTGTGCAGTTACATGGTGTAAGTCAGAGATGCTTGTTGAACCATGCACTTCTGCTACACTTTTTCTTGCTGAATCCAATGCTAAAGCTTTTTCGACTGCCTTTTGAAAGGTTAACTTCTTGTCTTCAGCAAACAGCACTCACTGAATATCTTGTCTTTGTAAACCACAAACAAATCTGTCCCTCAGTGCCTCGTCTAAGAAATTATCGAACGCACACGAACTCGAGAGGGAACGCACTTCCACAACAAAATCAGCAATGGATTCAGTCTTACGCTGAGACCGTCGATAAAACTTGGCTCTCTCACCAATTACTGAAGGCTTTGGTGCCAGATGGTCGCCAAGCAATTGCCTGAGGGTGTCGTATGACTTGCTTGATGGAAGGTCAGGGGCGGTATGTGACTTGAGTAGAGTGTACGTCTTCGCCCCTATTAGGCTCAGGAACGCGTGAACCTTGTCTGCCTCCGGTACTTTGCTGAAGTGGAGAAACGACATCAACCGCTCGTCGTATGAAGTCCAGTCGCTTCAGGAGTCGTCAAAAGGCTCCATGTGGCCAATTCTTCCTACCACTTGCGTGACTGGGTCTGCCATCCCTGCTATTCCAGTAGCTCGCTATGTGTCGGCGACCACCCCAGGAACTTCAAACAGGGTAGAACCTTTCTTCTGTTCTGCTAACGCCACTGAAGGTTCGAATCACTTCGTCGCCAGATGTGATGTCCAAAGTTCGGAGACGAACGTAGAGTAGCAAAACGATTTATTGCTACATATTGTCGCAAGTATGACGGTACAACAGCAAATGAAAAGAGTGAGCCCGGGCGGCAGCCTAGACCTGCAGCTTTATACTGAATCGCAGTCGGGTCACATGATTACTGGCAGCTGGGCTGGCCGCTCTATCGACAATATGTGGCACTATCGCATACATGACAATAAGTTTGCTGGAATCTTTGTTTCAACTGATAAAGGCAGTCCCACTGAGTTCTTTACCTTCTTCCTATGTTTACTGGCCAGTTCAAGCAAAACACATGAGAGCAACATTGGTGCCAGACATCTAAATGATACTTGGAATGGAAACAACAGTAAGTAGTTACGATATCATCATTCCAGAACGTAATCACTGAGAGTTATGTACTACTGCGGTGGTTGTGATTTCGATGGAGGCAGAAATGCTTGAAGCCTTTATACTGATCTTTAGCTGCACTATGGAGAACCCCATGTTGTCAAAATTTCTGGATCTGTTTACTATGGTTTTCCTCATAATCATATCATGGTTTTGGGACATTGAACCCCTATGATAGAGTTATGAATTACAGCTTCAAAAAATTATTTGCTGAATTACTAAAATGTGATGTTTTATGTTTAGTACTTGACCTTCTTTGCAATTTTATCAGAGAAACACTTCTTTCTTTATTCGCTCGTGAACATCTCCCAAGAACGCCGAAGGTTCGCCTTGAATGGCCTGTTCCAATGGATGTCGGCTGGCTGCAGTAGGCTTGTGCAGCCCGCAGTCACATACGCGTCTGTGTCACGTTTCGCTGTTGCGTCTTTTGCCGCCCGAGTCTTGTGGATTGGTGCCTGATCAAGCACAAGTAGCCGCAGCATATCGCCGTCGTTCGGCCCCCACACCCTTGCCAGCCACTCCTGCAGTTTATCCGATGTCATCCAACTATTTTTTGATGCCGTGACGTGAATATAGGCTACAAAAAAAAGTCCAGTCAACTGACGTCACTGTAATCCAGCACATTTTCTTAATTGTTACTTTGCCCCGTGAAAACAAAAAGAAAAAAATCCCAATGCACAAACTTCGTCACTCACCTGGTATATGAAGGCTCATGAACGCTTTGGTTGATACCTTTCCATCTTGTTCCTTAAAAACGATAAAAGCTGGTAGTTTGTGGCCACTTGCGCATGCTGCCACTGCAATCGTGAAGCTCCTGCGATCCCAGCCAGTATTGGCAATGCGCACGGTGCTCGCCCCAACCAGGTTGTTCGTCCTGCTCGTCGGCGAGTCCATTTGGACCATCGTCTGGTCCATATTACAAATGTTGTAATGTGTGTAGTCGTGGCGTGCTTGTAGGCTATCCACAGCAGAGCGAAATGCCTTTACTGCCTTTGAGAAATTGTCAGGAGTCTTCTGGCTCTCATTTTTGGATTGGCGCATTGTCACTTCAAACCCCACACCTCTTGATATACTGGCTCGATGAAGCAAAATTTCCTAGCTGCAAGCTGCGGGCTATTTTGACAGCTTCTTCTGAGAGAAGTCTGTTACTAATAGCACGTCCAGTGCTTCTTTCCTTGTTGTAGGCCCGTGTACTCAGATTTGGGTGCGTGTTAAAAAACCCCAGGTGGTCGAAATTTTCGGAGCCCTCCACTACGGCGTCTCTCATAATCATATAGTGGTTTTGGGACGTTAAACCCCACAAATCAATCAAATCAGTGCTCCTTTCCTGCTCGAGGAACTCAAAAAGAGCGTCGTCTACCTCCTCACTGAACACTGGCGCTACGTTGCTCAACTTACGCCGAAGCTTGGCGGTGCCAAAGTTTTGTTGCAGTAAGCTCTCGAACTTCTTGTCGCACTCGGGGACCCACACATTTCTTCCGGCCTGGCGATGCCATTGTATGACTTGATTTTTTTTAATTGTATAGGAATGCATGTCCGAAGTCGCCGCTGTCACATTTGGAACCTACAAACGACAATAACAAAATGGCAGGCGTCGTGCCAATGCCAGGGAATGTGGTCAACATGGTTACATGACCAATTTTTGGATTAAATTTCAGATTAGGGAAGATCGTAGCTGTTGGCCTGGTTTCGGTTTCGGCAGTTCGGGGTGAGTCGGCAAAGAGTGGCGGGGTGATGGGGGGGGGGCGAGGGGGGTTTTGATCGGTATTTTACGGTAAGCTCAAGAGCAAAGCCTTTAAATTATTACACTTTGTGGGAAGGTTATTAAGCTTAATCTCAACTATATGCATGAGATGGTTGTAAAGAGACCAAAGTACAGTTACGGTTGCATATGCACCTCATAGCAGTTTCCCATTAAACATCGAGGTGTACATATATATTACTAGTGTCAAACATTGCATGTACGTATATGCAGTCCCTGTAGCCTACTTTACCAGGATTGAAAACACTTTCACTAATCTTCTGAGCACACGGGCAGAAATGGAAAAATTTTAAAAGAAAGGCTGGAAGTCATCAAATGACAAAAAACAAAACAATAGTAAACAAAAAAACAAAACAATAGTAAGATTTTAAATGCAATGCAGACAAAGGGTACACAATCTGCTGCCGAGATGAGGAAACAAATACAGAGTGCTGGAGCTTGTCTCATGGAACGTAGCATCCATGAGGCAGCACTTTAAACAACTGTAAATATGCTATAAGCTGCGTTTCCTGCTACACCTTGTCTTGTGAATTAGATGTTAACCAGTTGTATATGTAATTGATTTAATGTAAGCAATGTAATCACTGTGACCATCACTGATAAAGAGTAATAAATGAATTACAGTAATACCAAGAAATCTTATCATTTGCAAGTTGTCTATTATGTTTGTCTAGTCATAGGTGCTGGTTACTGTTGAAGTTACTTAACTTTTAACTTGGAACTTCAACTGCGGGCACATATGGCAAACCTGTGTTACTGTGTATTAACGCGATAGCGTTAGAGAGCTCATGTCGCAGAAAATCCGCCGCTGGCCTCAGTCCTGTTGATTGTGAGCGAAAAATCGTCTGTGCATCTGTGACCGAAAAATCAAGTCACTGAGATCGCCGCGGGAAGCCGGCCGCTACTTGTCCACTCGCGCGCGCGATCACACTGAAAAAGTTGCACATTTGAAGAAAAAAAAGAACTACTCAAGGTCACGAAACGTGGTAGTTACTTTTCCCTGCCACCCGTCCCTGCTTAGCTTGCAGCTCTTTCGTCGGGACGAGAGGAAAGATAATGCAATCGCAGTATGTGACAAATTTTTGTACAGTGAAACCTCGTTAAACCGTAGTTGGCCGGAGCTCGGAAAAAGTACGTACTAAACGGTAGTACTTCTTAACCGAAATAGCGTCAGGTCGCTCACTTACCTGTCAAAAAAAGAAACCTTCAGGGAGTGCGATGAAAGAAAAAAAAACGTGCAATAATTTATTAACTTCGCGTGAAAAAGTCTGTAATCTTCATTTGACCACGCGGTGGCTTAGCAGCATCGACAGCGGCCTCAAACTCACTTATGCTGTGAGCCAGCTTTTCCGCCAGCCCCCTCTTCTCAGCAAATACCCGCATGATGCTGACGCAATGCGCAGCTTCAGCCATTGTCGGACCTGGATCACCCGTGTTATCGCTTTCCATGTCGTCCTCATCACTATCATTTGGCGACACTTTGACAACCAAGGCAACAATGGCTTCGTCGGACATGTCCGGAGATGTCTGCACATCGCTGTCTGCGTCCCAGCTTCGGCATGACGCAAGTACGAAGCAGCACAAGCACACATACACAACACGTGAAAAATGACGCGAGAGCTGTACGGCACGGATCAACCAGAGAACACCTATACACGGCGCCAAAGAAACAAAGAAAGCAAAGCAAGCGCACACTGTGTTTGCGTGTTTGTGCAAAGCGCTATCGCGTGGACAACACCAGAAGCCTAGCCAGCCGAGTGCTTCTTGTTGCAGAAAAATCCAAGAGATGGCACTCACCAACACAGCCGCCATAATCATCAACACAAACAAGCGAGGCGTGTTTCGATCTCTGGGGCTTGCTGTTCTGTCAGGACGCCCAGTGGGGGACGACATGCCGCAGCGAGTGCGCAACGAAAATCGGAAAAGCTAATTAACCGATACATACGCGATAAGCTGGTACGGCTTATGCAGATACAAAATGCATTATGTTCAATGGCCGCCGAGTCGGGGATTTGACTTCACTACTTCTAAAACGAAACTACTGTTTACGCGGGTACGGTTTAACGAGGTTTCACTGTAACTCCACTCCCACTGGACGGATTCTTGAAATTTTCACGGCGTAGAATTCGTGAGGCAATAAGCTCTTCTAGTGAATTTATTCCATGGTTACTTGAAAAAGTGTTTCAGGGCCCCTATAATGCATTTTGTTCGACAGGTGTCGCGACGAAAACGAGCCCATTCGGCGATAATAGCATGCACTGGTGCTGGGTGCAACCTCGGAACGATGCCTTTTCCGATTCCGATGCTTATCATTATGTTTGCGCTTGGCCAGTGTGGTAACTAATCAGAGCGGCTCTTCATCCGCATTATCAACAAAATCTGCACACCGCGAGTGGTGGATGATAAGAATGGCATAGAATAATGCAAAAGTCGCCGCTCCACAATACCCTGCCTCTATCTCGATGTTGTCTGATACTTTTGACGGCGGACAGCTGCTGGTGTTAACGTGTTACTTTTTACGGCGGACAGCTGCTGGTGTTAACGTGTTACTGCAACTGTTTGGTTCATTCACTTTTGACCTTTTGTTGAGCGGCAGGAAAAAGCGTGCAAGTCCTCGCGTCTGCCATCCTGACCACACATGCACACCAAGAGCGTGCAAGAAGCGCACACGCGACGCACATGCCGGAACGCATGAAACAGCTCTGGGCCTGTTTCTAGTCGGAAAACGAAACTAATTCGAGCCAGCGTTGCTGGCGTCACAGAGCAGTGGAGATGGGCCAAGGGGTTGTGATCAAGAGAGGAGAGCAGATTTGCGAGAGAAGGGCAAGGAGTTGCGATAGTGAAGACAATCACGAAGGCAATTTTCGGCGTTGTTTCAGCACGCTTTTCACCATGGCCTCGCTATGCATGGATGAGAATCTCGTCGTGATGCTGCTGGGAAAGAATAGGAAGCAGTGGACATTTTTTGAATTTTGAGATTAAGCGTACCTTTGTTTAGCTAGCTCAGATCAGCTATATTTTTTCGATTTCACTACTGTGAAATTTTCCCTTTAACAAAATTTTTTCCGCGCCTCGTAAGTTTTATTGTAGCGGGGTGCGACTGTATGTAGACTGTGCTCTGACATCGCCAACAGTAGTGCGTGACACAGTGAAAATTATTTCACACATGTGTAATTTGAGTAATTTGTTATTTGATAGATGAATAAATCCGAGATAAATAATGAGACATACAAATGGAATCTGTGCGTCTTTCATTTTTTTTTCGTGAATTGCAACGAGATGCGGGGCTAATGGGCCTGCATTTTTCATGTATTTGCATCCCCACGGTTAACGCATCTAGCAGATGCCAGCCCTGAAAACAAAATTAATGGTCTTGCACATTCGAGCACTCATTATGCTCATATATTCTACCACGTCTAAGCCAGCGTTTCCAAATGAGTGCACACCGATGCATCCATCCTGCAGAAATAGGCCATGGACCGCAAAATAATGCTGGTCAACAAAACAACGCCACTCGCGTGTTGGGCACGTCATGTGCACGGGACCTTTTGCTCTGATGTCAGAGAGGGTAGGAAGAGATTTGGAATGTGGAGGCCACGCAAGGTAAGCCACAAGAGTTTCGAGAGCGCCCTCTCGCATCATGTTTTCGCGCCGCTTCCAAATGCTGGTTTTCTCAGCTTGTAATGAACCGCTTAAAAAATTCTTGTGATGTAATGCTGTTCTTCGGACACGCAATAATTGCCAGTGTCTAACTAGAATTTGTTGTGGAACCTGGTGAGGGGCCTTTTAACAGCATGACTCATTAGAAAGGTTATCTTAAAACAATGCTTTACATATGGAAATATAATAGTACACAGTTCACTACATGCCGTGCCAAACACTTGATCTTTATAGGTTTCATTAAGGCTCTGCTGTACTCCTGTAGCAAAGTGACAAATCGCCCCGCCGCGGTGGTCTAGTGGCTAAGGTACTCGGCTGCTGACCCGCAGGTCGCGGGTTCAAATCTCGGCTGCGGCGGCTGCATTTCTGATGGAGGCGGGAATGTTGTAGGCCCGTGTGCTCAGATCGGGTGCTCGTTAAAGGACCCCAGGTGGTCGAAATTTCTGGAGCCCTCCACTACGGCGTCTCTCATAATCATATGGTGGTTTTGGAACGTTAAACCCCACATATCAATCTATCAATCAAAGTGACAAATCTCAACTTTGCTTTTGAATCAGGTCCATCAAGTTGGGTAATAGTCATCCTTGCAAATTTTTTGCCCAGGATGAAGAAGCAGTTAGGAGGAAGTCTGAAGGTGATGTTCTGAACGGCGACTCTGGCTCGCTGACAAGCCCTGGCAGCGACAATGAGCGCCCACCCAGTGCAGTCTCATCTGTGCCACTGTCATTGGCTCCTCCAACAGTTGCTGTAGAAGTGGCAAGTGCAGCAAGTTCTTCAAGTCGTTGTGGCTTGGAAGGAGTGGCTGACCCAGGGTCATTGGGGTCACTAGCCCCGATGCCCCCGCCGTCATACTCTGAGGTCTCGCCAATGCCGGCAAGGCACCAGGGGGGCGCTGCGGAGGCAGTCAAGGTGTGTATTGAGTTATAGGCATGAAGAGTTTTGATGTCTCGCTGCTGCTATTCTCAAGTGCTGGGTGCTTAAGCGATTGCTAGGAGGAAGTGACCATTTGTGAGCTTGCCTCAAGCCGGAATATATTTGCTTGTGACAGCTGTTGAAACAAAGTACTACTACTACTATTACTGCAGTAGAATCTAAGTGATAGAAATTCAATAGGAGGTCACAAAATAATCTTACCCTGAATTCCTATGAGCTGAACATCATAATCGACAACTTTATTGGGCACAACTACTTTTAGCTGAAATGGCCATGATGTTATTGCATTGTTTCCTGTCTTTCATGTCGTAAAACCATGCCACAGTTTGATCACTCATGCTACTGGCACACACAACAGTGTTGCACAGAATTTTATGAGCGTGATTGTTTTCTGGTGTCGATTGCAGCTGGTCACACATGGTGGCATCACTGTCACCATCAATGTCAGTCTGTTTCATTTTCTTTGTTAGTCAATTTTTAATTAAATCTTGACCCCACAATTTGTGATGTCATCCATGGTGAGAGTCTCCACTTGAAGTTTAATTCAGAGGATCTCCTAGCCTTCAAGCTGCAAATCATTATTGGGATCTTGATTTCCTCTTGTCAAAGCTGTGTCCTGTACCGCGAAAAATTTGCGTTTGCCAGATAAGTTTGTGCTTGTGTATGAGGTCAAATAATTCCAAGACATGTCTAGGAAATACAATGCAACTAGCAAACTTATCCGCAAATTTTCGTCCTCACAATCAATTTTTACTTAAAAACACTCTTCTAAAGTACCATTGAAATGAAGCTTAACATTTCAAATCATCCTGCGTCTTCACCTGAACTACAAGTTTTCCAACTCAAGTTAATTCGACTGCAAGCTATTTTAATCCCAGTGTCAAAGTAATCAATCTAAATGTTGTACAGACGAGCCCGCTTATAACGAACCTCAGCCAGATGCGGCATCCTTTTGCTGTATCTCGAAGTTTGTAGTAAATGAAACACAGCTTTTAAAAAAGTCGCGAGCAAAAACACAAACTTTTTTTGCCCAAAAAAGTCCGTGATGCACGTGTTTTGAAGAGCAGAAGCAATAAGGGCGGTCTTTAGTTCATTTAAACCGGCAAGGTGCTCGTTCGCCGAGGCCCGTGGCATGAGGCACTGGCTCTAAAGTTTCGTCGTTCTCGCAATATGATTCCCCAAAATTGCTCTCGCCACGTACTTCATTCACAGTGCCCTAATCCGTGCACGGTTCCACAGTGTCGGCATCGTCATCAGCCGTAATTAAACCATCACAACAGATGTCCCACATGCTCTCCCAGGTCGTAGTCGACGACGGGCTGCCACAAATCGCTGCCAGAGTGATCCTGTTCGGAAGCTTCAGGCTCGGCATTGGGCCCGATGTCGACGAAGTCGGCCTCACAAAAACGGTTTCGTGCGCATGTAGCCGTCACTGCCGCTCATGAAGTATTCGCCATCTCCCCAGCTGAATACCGGGATTCTCGAAGCGGCAAGTTGGCTGCCAGGTGGTCAACAGCTATGAGAAAGCGCTCCGCAAAGCGGCACCTAGCGCACGGATTATGCTCAAGCCAAGTGGTCACACTTTCGATGTTTTGTTGAGCGGCAGGAAAAAGCGTGCAAGTCCTCGTGTCTGCCATCCTTGCCACACACGCACACCAAGAGCGAGCAAGAAGCGCACACGCGACGCACATGCCAGAATGCATGGAACAGCTCTGAGCCCGTTTCTAGTCAGAAAACGAAACTAATTCGAGCCAGCGTTGATGGCGTCGCAGAGCAGTGGAGATGGGCCAAGGAGTTGTGATCAAGAGAGAAGAGCAGATTTGCGAGAGAAGGGCAAAGAGTTGCGATAGAGTGAAGAGAAGGGAAGATGCGGCGGGAGGGCGACCTTGAAAACCAAAGCACGCGAGAAGGAGGCAGGTTGGGTAGTAATGTAACTGGGGTTCTGCCCAGAGGACCAGAGCCAGCCAGAGTCTTGGGGAGAAGTCGAGGAGAGGAGCCCGGAGCTGCTAACAGTAACTTTTAATTACAATATTTACAGGTAGCATGTTAGATGATGGTGGTAGCATCATGAAAGCTCTCGATGGAAGCATGCTGGGAGCTTCTGGGAGCTTGTGAGAGCTTGTCGGGAGCACCTTGGCGCTCGTGTTTTACGTCCTAGCCTTCCCAGGATTCTCTGCATGAAAAACAATGGAAGCCAGGACAGTCCAATAAAAATTGCCATTCTCACCACCGCCCCCAAAAGAGGAGGTGAAACGCCGCCTCTTTTCTGACCAAGAAAAGAGGGAAGAAGCACGCCCACTTCGTCCCATGGAAACACTGCACACCACGCACGACACAGCACAGCACGAAGATGTTGAGTCCTACGTGGAAATCAACTCTGTAGACCGTTGCAGTGATGAGTATGTGGCGCCAGGCAGACCATGACTTGTGGAAACAGCGGTATTAGACACTGCAGAGAACGTGGGAAATGCATCCGCAGATGGTTCTCAGTCACTTGGCTTATTGTCCGCGGCACGCCGACGAACAGAGACGTACAAAAATAACCACCCTTTTTAAGCCGCTTTGACTGTAAACAGCCTTTAATAGGTCACCAGTCGGTCGGGTAAGTTCAAAGGGTAATACGCGGAGAGACAGCTGCACCACAAAATTCCAAGTACGGCTTGCGTGTCGTTGTCATTTGTGGTTCACCTCTGGGAGCGCTGTGCCGCTACCGTCTCAAGTCCAAGCGGCGCGATGTCAGGAAGGCCGATCATAACAGTAGCTTGCTTGAAAGGCGCAACTCGCATGTAAAAAAACTTGAAAGAGTGCCTGCGCGTGCAGAAGTCAAAGCACAGCCGCCTGAATCGGTGCGCGCGGCGGTGTTCATAGAATTGGCGGCTGTGGTCAAAACATCCTTTTGTTGCGCTGACAAGTTTGTGTGGTCTCACCGACTTAGATATTTCGTGATTCGTTCTGCGCAAATTAACAACCGTTTTCGCACTTCCGCACGCGTGCGGAGGGCATGCTAAGACAAGTGCGTAGTGAGCGAGAACAGGTCCTAAACATGAAATTAATTTCAAGTTATTATAGTCGGTGGGATAGCGTACGTGCGTGCATTAGACGCAGACGATCGGATACAGTCGGTGGCCGACGATGTTGGCAAATGGTCTAGTCACTCCAGGCCGGCGACGCCAATGACAGTACCAGCGATAAAAACAGGGTAGATAGCCGACCGGTCTTCGAAAGATCGGTGGCAGAGTGAAAACACGGGCCTCGTCTGGCTATGCAAGGTGCTCAGAGTAGCGGGGGGACAAAGGACGGAGGGGTGCGTAACAAAAAGCGGTCGGTCGGGGAGAGCGGCAACTAGAGGGGCGCAGAGGCAGGGTCGGCGTTTAACAATAAGAATGTATGGGCCCCTCGCTGATGCCTGAGCGGTGGTCGAAAGTGGTTTCCCGAGAAGTCGGTAGAGTGCCGACTCCGTTCGCTGTAACCGATCAGCGGCGCTCGGAGACGTTCGATGTAAGTGTGATTATGTGCCGTTGAAGCAATGTATATTTTCATGGTCACATGAATATTGTTCGTTTTAAGTGAAAGTTCGTTTTAAGTGGGCTCGACTAGACTCCGTGCACTGAGACTGGCGTGCGGCCAAGCGGCCGTCAGAAAAGACAAACATTGAGAGCCCGAGCAGAACGAAACACTCCCCCAATGTTCGCTAGCACGTAGTTTATCTGAATCATGAACTGCTGCATAGTCAATTGTACTAACATGTATACGCCGTGTCCTGCGGGAACGAAGTTCCAGAGTTTCTCGAGTTGTTCTTGCATTATTAGCCAGCGAAATAAGTGGATCACGGCTGTGTGACGTAAAAGGTGTTCTGTTCCCATTTCCTCTGCCGTCTCGTATTCTGCCGATGCGTGCTTGAATTGGTCTGAGACACCCTCTGCAGGTGCGATGATCTTGCGTGATGTTCTTGCTTCCATTGAGCTGGTGAGAAAAGAAACGCTTGTAAGAAATTTCATTTCAGATCAAGGCTGATGGGATGTTTTAATGGACCTTAATAATTACTATACCTTGCCATGTACCGTTCGCAGTTTTGAGGAATGCAATGCGAGGTCAATTAGTGCTTTCCCGAGTTGATGGGTTCTACAGTGAAGGGGCGAACTGAATTACGTAGCATTTTACCGTAAACACAAGTAGCCACCCAGCAGCAAATGTGCACTCAATAGCATCAAGGTAGTACATCAGTTGGTCGGCTGGTCCTTATTAAACTGGTGCAAGGCACCATGAGGGATCGGCCATGAAATGGGCGGTGCCTTGTTATATAAATGATTTTGTTTATAAATCTCAAAATCTTTAGCAATAGATCATTTTCTAAAGAACTAATTCACTTAATTTTCCTGAAAAAAAGCCTAATGTCATGGAAGAATAAGTCTCACTTACATAACCTTACAATTTAATTCAATTCTATTCGTCTCGCTAAGCAAATCGCATAGGGCATCCCAAACGCTCCTGTGTCTAAAACCACATGCTGTAGCTCCAAAGGAAATAACCGCCGGAAGTAATGAGTTGAATTGCATCTTTCGAATTTGGATTATTCAAAGGCCTTTTTTTTTGATTGTTAAACAATCTGCATGTTAGGAAAAAATGATGCATGGCTTAGAGTGTAGCAGAACTATACATGGTAGAAACGATTCCTTACGAATGCTGTAGCGACGGATGTGCATGTCGGTGTTTGTTTCGGAAAGCAACATAAACAACCCAAGAGGTTATAGGGAATGAGAGACACGTGGCTGTGGCCGAAGTGACCGTGCCGTCGTCGTCAGCACTCTACAAGGTGAAGCAAAAGACAGAGTGGGGCATGCGCCGTCCTCTCTGGACTAAATCTTCTCGCGTTTTCTTTCTTGCCCGTGCCTCAAGCTCTTGGCATGAGCCGCGCGAGTGGCGAGGTAAAGATTACGATCATGATGAGCGACGATCATGCCGCGACAATTTCAAGC